TGAGGTGTAATATTAGACTGTTTATTTGAGATCTTCTTTTTTTGGCATAGGTGTTTATTGATGTAAACTTTTGTCTTAGAATTGTTTTCTCTGTATCTCATAAATTTTATACTGTTGTAGTTCCATTTGTCTTTGTCTCCAGATGTCAACATAGGTGAATGGCAGGTTCTTGGTCTTGCCAAGGGGAGAATTCAGGGGAGGATGCACAGATGCATTTTAATAAAGTGAGATTTATTTAAGCAAAAGCTAAATTTTATTGAAGCAGAAGCAAATGCAAAGAAATATTTATTCCTCAGTGCAAACTGAGGTTGTACACCTGGACCAAGGAGTCAAGTGCATTGAGCTGTCAGGTCTTAGGCACTTTTATGGATAGGGTTTAATGATTTTTGTTAAACATATGTACATTGTAAATATTTCTTAGAAAAGGGAGGACATTTCCAAGAACTGGGGAACTGGAAGTAGCTTACCTAGTAAAGTGTCTTCAGAGCCAAGATGGTGACTTGATGAGAGGTGTGCACATGTTTTCTGGATTTGAAGTTGGGAAAATCCTTATTGGGGTTTATTGCTGGGGACAATTTGCTGCTGCACCAAGAAATTGCCTCAACCATGGCCAACCTTTACACCAGGACAATGGTGGAACACAATGTTCTGTGAAATGTATGTGGATACAATTCTGCACCTTTTCTCTGGCTCCTTTGTGTTGTTGTTGCCTTTCCACCTGCCTAAAATATCAAAGATATTTAAAAAAATTCCCCTTAATTTCTATGTTGACCCAATGGGTTGTTCAGGAGCACATTGCTAAATTTTCATGAACTTAAAAATTTTCTTAAAGTATTTATGTTATTGATTCCTGGTTTCATTCTGAGGCAGGTTAGATAGAATAAGGCCAGAGGCCACTGCATGGTAGCTAAAGGCTGATGCCACAGTAGAGCTTCAACATGGTAGGACATCATGTGATCACTCAAATAGCGACAAACAAGACCTTGCCAGAACTGGCCGGGACTGATATGGCTGATAGAGATGACCAAACTAATTCATTGTAATGGCATTTGCAGTTTCAGCTGTTCCCATCATGAATCTGATGTTATGACACATCCAAAAACCCATATAAGGACAGAAAAGGAGAGTAAGCCCTATTCTGGGAAAATCCTGATCCATTCTGGGAATTCTCTGGTCTTTCTCCTCCGAAGCTCAAGAGTAATGCTCCCTTGCATTGAAGTTTGTCCATTGGATAAGCTGTCTAAAACCCCTGTGGATACAAATTACCATAAGAATGCCCACACTCACCTTTCAGTGTGTACATTTTCTTTGTAATAAAAAAAAACTCATTCCCAATTACTTACTTAGTCTCATCTCTAAATTCTTTTTCTCATGGTAACAAGAACTTGAAAACACTGGGTAGATGTCTCCCTGTCTTTCCCTGAGACGAGCCAAAACCCTCACTGTGGCAGCAATACTTTTGTGGTTGATGAAGGCTTACTTGTAGTCTAATATATAATCTATTGTGGAGAATATTTTCACTTGAGAAGAATGTAGATTCTTTTGCTGTTGAGTGGAATGTTCTGTGTACATGTTAGGTCCATTGTTCTAAAATTTAAGTTAGTCTGATACTTCTTTATTGATCTTCTGTCTGGATGGTCTGTCAATTGTCAAAAGTCAGGTATGAAATCACCTATTATTATTGTATTGCAGTCTATCTCTTCCTTCATTTAATTAGTGTTTGCTTTAAATATTTAGGTGCTCTTATAATAAACATACATGTTTATAATAATGGTATCTGTTTGATGACTTGGCTTCATTATCATTTTATAGTGATCATCATCTCATTTTATAGTTTTAAACTAACATCTATTTTTACTGAATCAAATTTAGCTACCCTGTTCTCTCTTAGTTTTTATTTTAATGGAAAAGCTTTTCTTTATCCTTTCACTTTCAACCTATTTCTGTCCTCAAAGGTGAAAAGAGTCTCTTTTAAGGCAGCATATAGTTGGGTCTTGTTTTTTTTTTTTTTATACCATTCATCTATATCTTTTTATTGAAGAATTTAATCCATTTACATTCAAGGTAATTATTCATAGGTAAGGACTTGCTACTGTCATTTATTGCTCACTTCACTTTGCGATTAAAACTTTTCTCTAGTGGTTTGTCTTGTCTTCTCACTTGTATTTGTCTTTTGTGTATCTACTACAGATCTTTATTTTTGGTTATGATGAAGCTTACATAAAACATCTTGCTGTTATAACATGCTATTCTAAGATGATGACAACTCTTTCTTGAGACAGAGAAAGTACATTTTTGCTCTATTCTCCTCTACATTTTCTGCTTTTGATGTCCGAGTTTATATTTTATGGTGTGCATTTTCTAAAAGTGATTGTAGTTACTATTATTATTATTTGTAATGACTTTGGGTTTAAATTTTTACCCTCAAGATGTATGGGATTTATTTATAAAGCACTATTGCAGTATTAGAATATTATGAATTGACTGTGTACTAGCTTAACAGTGAGTTTCATACTTTAATCCATTACACATTAGTGTCCTTTTCTTACAGTGTGAAGAACTCTCTTTAGAATTTCTTTTAAAACAAGTCTGATGGTAATGAAGTCCCTTAGCCTGTGTTTTTCCGAGGAAGTTTTTCTCTCCATCATTTCTGAAGGACAGCTTGAGACTTAGTTTTCACCACTTTGCCAATATCCCCTAAACCATGACAGAAATAAAGATTTGTGACATTGCACAAGATTTCCTACAACAAAAATTTGTGGAACAAAAGCTGTGAGAAAAAAAGTCATCTTATTTAGGAATTAGTCATCATACTCAACTTTTTAAGAGAATAGTTAAATTATTTGCCAGTTGCAAAATAACGTCCATGGGTGGTAGAGCACTTGCCTACCATGCATAATCTCCAGCCCCTCCAAAAACAACAACAAAGAAAAAAAAAAAGAGAAAACAACAACATCAAACTTCATGAGGATTCAGGTTCTTTGTGCAGTTTACATCAAAACTTAAATATAGATTAAGTAAATCTCATTTTTATTTATGCTTATTTATATTTACATTTTGCTTGTATTTCAACAAATTACGTTTGTTTCTTTTAAATTAAAGAAACATGAGCTGAATATATCACTAGTACTGACATATTTAACTTTCCCATTTTATTGAGAAACTTATTCCAAGGTCTTATTTTTGGGTTATTGGTTCGATTTATTATAAGTATTTTATGTAGTATTCTTAATTTTGTTTTGTGTTTAACTTATAATTGTATGATTTTTCATTGTATTTGTACACTTTCTCTACATTAAGTGATACCGATTTTTGATTTTTCATCTTGACTTTTTCCTAAAAAATAGACTTTAAAAAGCTAATTTAAAAAACTTGTTAAATATATCATGACATATCATCAAGACGTATTTGAATGACAGGTTTTGAAACACTGCAGAATGATAAGCTTCTAGGATCAAGGTTTAAAGACATTGTTCATTCTTGAATTTTGAGATTTAAATAAAAACAGACACTTAAGTGCAATTGTTCTTTCAACTCATTTAGCATTATAACCATTTGTAAAGTTTAGGGCATTATCTTATTATTGCTTTTCAACTATTAGATATTTCAGTTATTTAGTCACACATCAAACATATTCTCAATTTTCATTCAGATCACTGTGATACTCGCAACTAGAGATAGAAATGGCTATGACAGCTCTCAATGTGTTATCCATTTAATAGTACAGGCACACATACAAAATGAATGAATTTGGAACTATGAAATATAAATAAAGTGTTGTGGCAGTTCTAAGAAGAAAAACAATATTATGACTGAAAGTAAAAACAAACAAATGAATAAATAAAAATGTTCCCCAAGTCTAAACACACCTGGTAGCATTTGATCAGAGACTTCAAAAATGAGTAGGCAAAATCGCCATGAAATAAAGGACTCCAGGCAGATAGAAACATGTCAATAAAGCTTTGGAGTGAAGAAAGTGCAGTTTACGTTCAGGAATTATGAGTGATAAATGAACCTGCCAAAGAAAGGGGAAAAAAAGAAGCCTAAATATCAAGCTGAGTAATTTAGACTTTATTCAGAAAAATATTAAAGCAATGGGTTAGTGAAAAGTTTGGTTATTGCCTGAACTTACTGTCATCATGGGCTGTTGTGTGTACTCTTAGAATTGAGTCAGATTTAGTGCTGATGCATCTTAAGTCCCTTGAGAGAAGTAAATACTAAGACTAGAGGTCATTATAACATCTTTGGATAGGAATTGGAGCTATATTGAAAGACTGACTAAAAATTAACGATTAAAGTAAGTGTTAAAGAGAGTAATTGATGGGACATTTGCCAACTTTGAATTAATTAAATTGAGCCTTAATTTATAAAAGTGCTGCTTGCAGCAAAATGAAACCATCTTTCTCCAATGCAGTGAGACAGTAATGCTATCCCATTATGATTCATTTCGAATTGGAGCTCTTCCCAAATTTAATCTAGTTGGTTGGTTAAGAATGAACTAACCGATGGTTGCATCAGTATCAGGAAGACCATCATTTGGCACAAAATTAGTCAAATGGAAGGTGTTGTTCCTACTTTTACCTGCTTTGCATGATCAAAATCTGAATATTAATAGGATTTGAGTTTAATTAATCCCAGAATCAGGAAATTAGACAATATTTTACAAAAATCTATGTTCTAAGTTTTTGTTTTATGCTTGTGCATGTGTTTAATTGTGTGGGCATGCATAAGAATGCCTGCTTTTAGTGAAATGGGCATGAGTGAGATACATTGATTGGGTTCTTCCTGCCATTGATTGTGTAGCCAACCTGTCACTTCTCCAAGTAGTGGATCATGTTGACAGGATGCATTACATTTTATGAATTTTTTTCTTTATCTAGAAGATTTGTAATTGAAATACACTTCCCTTTTAAGAGTGAGCTCCTCTGCATTTCACAGCCATTGAAATATTTATCTTGAGCAGACAGTGAGTTTCTCTGCTAGCACAGAAGACTTTTAAGATGAAGATCTTCTCAACCTCTCTTTGCTTTGGACTCCTGACGTTTTTATCTGTGATGATCCTTTTAGAATCAGTGCATGGACGGCCATATCTTACCCAAGGTATGTACACATGATCTAAAATCCTACAGGTGGGTAAATAATCCTTATCTTCCTGTTTGCATCACTTTGATTTTTCTGTCATTAATGAAATTAAGCTTTATGACAATAATATAATTCAGTTACCAAATCTCCTTTAAACAGTTGCTATTTTGAATTAAGGTAGTGCACTGTGCTCTCTGCAAGTAAATTGTGCCAGATGAACTTTACCCAGCATTGTACTAAATTAATCTTGATTTCAATTTGTTTTTTCTTTTGAATGCTATGATCAAACATCAGGAACATGTATACAGCAACATAGTCACATGATCTTTGCACAGTCTAAAGTACATTTTGGAAAATGAAAAAGGAGATTTTCATTATTTGAGAATATTAGCAAATTACTTGTGAAAAGAGAGCATCTCAGAGAAAAATACCTGCAGATAAAAATGTGTTTGTAGAGACTGAGGACAATAACACACAGGGAAATCTCTATGATACTTTCAGGAAGGCAGTGCTGGTGCTTCTGCTATGTACTGACTGCATTTATCAGATTTCTAATAAATTTGTGGTACTTAAGCTAAATGAAATAATTTAATCTATGACATTTATAAAATATATACCCATATAAAATTGATGATAGTAAGTTATTGCTTATGGCATTATAATATTTCAATCTTTCTTTAAATATGTCAGTAGATCCTAATCTGAAAATCAGTAGAGTTGGATTTTGTGCTGATTCATTGAGGCAGACAATTTTATCAAGACCTTTCTTTATGTATTTATTTATGTTTTAAGAATAGTGACTTAAAATAATATCGCCTCAAGATTGAAATTCTGGGGTTTTCTTCAATCTAGCACACCTTCTTGTCAGGAAGAAGATATTCTTTTACTTTATCTTATGTAGTTGGAGCCAGGAGAAAATGTAATAAATTTTGTTTATGTGACAGTGACTTAAAGAATCAAAATTCTTCATATTTGGATTTTATTCATCTTCACTAGCCCTTTTTTCCTCCAGTGGTTTTAAAAGTCAATAAAAATTAGAGCTATCATTTAGCATTGGGAAGACATTGCATAAGTGTTATCATTTATTTACAAGGATATTACCACTGAAAGACAAATAGTATCAGAAACCTAAATAAAAGCCTGGGAATCAAAGATTCTGGATTTTATCTGTGACACTAACATTTTATCTTTGTCTGGTCAAAATCAATGCACTTGTAGGTCTCTGCTGCTCCCTCTGCCAAATAATGAGATTCCCAGTGGTTTCAACACAGTGTAAATATGTGAAGAAAAATATCATTTGTTGAGGACTTTGCAAAAATTAGTATGTGTACATGTGTACATGGCAATTGTAACTTTTGATTTCATATATATGAGAAATATAAAGAGGAAAATACTACTCTGAAGCATTTGCTAGGTTACCATTAAGTATTACCTCTGACAAGAGAGTTCCATAGTGACTTGCTTCTATCACTGGCTCCATAACGGATGTATTTTTCTTTTGTGATTTTAGTGTCATCATCCTATGTAAATGAGGATGATTAAATTTTTAGTAAGATTATTTTATGATCTAAATTGATTAAGACTGGTGAGGCATGCTTCTCTTCATGCATACAATTTTCCAAAACAACTAAATAATTGACTTTATCTTTCAAATAAACATTTATGGACAGACACAGATGATAAAGTTGGAGTCATCAGCCTTCTCTCTGTGTGGCAGATAATATACAAGACGAATACCACAATTCTGCCAGATTTTATTTTGTGGGAGCCATATAAAAACATGCTTCAATGGGCAAGCCTAAAACTGGGAAAGCAGATTACCACAAATATCATAACCAAGATGACTGTGGAAAATTTCTTTTTGATGTAGTATCATTTTGGGAGTTTCTTTCTGGTAAAACTTCTTGTCTCTATTCAGTTAAAGCTTCAGATGTGAATACAAGCAGGAGAACTGAGTTGCTAAGATTTCACACCTTCGGGAATAATCTGTAATGAATCAGCATTTTCTGTTTATTTGCCAAAACACTCACTCTTTCCTCTACGAACAGCTTTAGTATCTTTTTTGCCAAAGATAGATCTAAATTTTGATATTTTATATTGAAATATCCTTGTCAATATTAATTCAAAGATAGAAACATATTTAAGGTTACATGTACTTATTCCTTTGAAGCTGTATGTTTTTAAACTTAAACAAGAAACAAAATTATTTTCTATTATTTTTCTTAGTTCACATGTTTATTTTAGCAATGAAATATAAAGAATCTTGAAAAATCATTTTGTTCAATGATACATATGAAAGATGGTTATCTTACAAAGTAGTGACAAGAATTTCTGAAGACAAAGAGGTAAGCAGGTATAATCCCTGGAAGCAGAACTGGTGAAGGCCAATAATTCATTTTGTCTTTTGAAAAATGTTTCACATAAGCACAGAAATTGTCCATTAAGTAAAGGAAAGCTTCAGATCTCTAGCTAACTTCCTTCCAGTTTTATAAATTTTGTAAGCTGGAAGAATTGAATCTGTTTCTCTTATCACCATATAATTGTTGAAACAAATAGTCATTGTCATCTGGCTCTAAAGTTTACCTTCCCCCCAAGAAATAATTCAAAATATTAAAATGTAACATTTTAATTAATGATTAAAGTGAAAATTATATTTTTGTATAATCAGGTCTTACTCTTAAAGTATCTCATGAGAATTTTTGTGTAGTCAATGTTGAGCAAAGTAACACTGATATTCTATTAATATATTAAATACTCAAGCCCACACTAATTTCTGTGTTCATGGAGAACTGAACAACAATTAAGTATCTTTGGTCAATGAAGAAACCTTTGATGCTGCTATCTGCCCCAAGTCATCATTTTCTTTCTTTAGTGAGCCATTTAATTTATTTCATCAACTGAATGAATGACACAGGGAGACAGATGACTTAAAGAAAAATATCTAGTAAGATAATGAGCCATTCTTCCAGTGGAAACCATAGTACTTTTGGTCCTAATCTCCAGCCTGATTAATCTAGCCTCTGCCCACACTGCCACAGTTAGGATGAGGAATTGGGGAGGGAAAGTGATCCTATAGAAACTATATGATAAACTTTTGATTTTTCAGGCCAACATATATTAATTATTATTTCAATGACATTATCGTTAATAGAAATCTTCCTGAATTCTCATGTTCAGTACTTGAATGAAGTCTGTTGTCCCAATTTTAATTACAGAATAAAGACTAATATGCTGAGAGAGTTGGGGACCTGAACAATAAATGGCTGGGAGGTAACCAGAGAATGATTCAAAGGTGTCAATAAGGAAAAATTTGGCAGCATTCTGTTTCTTCCACAAGGTTTTCTTGGAGGGTTTAAAAGCAGTTACTGGAACACAAATTGACTCTTATTTAAATGCATATCAAATAAAACCACAAAATCAAATGTTCTTTTATCTTAGAAACAACTTTCAGCCTTTACTTCTTCTGTTAAATGCAATAGCAGAAAAATTCAAAAACATAGATTTTAAAGATGAAAGTAAAATTCTCCTGCAATATCACTATGCAGAAGACCACAGGTTACACTTTAGGATGTGACCTTCCAGTTATATTATTTGTCTTTCTGCTTCTCTTTCATGATCTCTTCCTGTGTAACATACATGCACTGATTTTTAAAGTGGTCTATCTTTTTGGCTAGGACATCTCCCAACATCTCTTTCATTGGTGGATATCTGCATTGATGGTTGTCTGTAAAACTCATTTGATTAGGACACTTCCAGTACTAGATTGACAATGGTGGTCTGTGATCACTACAGGCAATGAATTGTTTCCAGTGAAAGAAGATGTGAATCTTGAACTATTGCTGGCTCTACTCAGTAAAAATTTTGATATCCAAAGGCCCTCCCACATTGGTGAGTGAAGAATAAAGTCATGCTTTTTCTATTAAAAATAATAGAACCTATTTTATCTCCAGACTTGCTCTTTCTAAATGGCAATTTATATTAAGTAAAATAATTATTCCTTTATGTGTGATACACTGAAGACATAAATGTTTTTCTTACATAGTCATGCTAAAAGCCATGGGATTATTTGAAAACATTAAATAATGTTTGTGTGTAGCTATTTTAAACAAACCAAAATGTCAGTTTTTTTCTTTTACAAAGTCAGAGAACAGGAGGGCAGAACAGGTCTTGCCTAGGGGGGGTTGGTACCAGTGGGAGGAGGGAGGAGGTGGAGAAATGGTGAGGGAGGGTGAATATGGTGCAAATGCTGTGTACACTGTATGTAAATGGAAAGATGAGACCTGTTGAAATTGTTCCAGGAAAGGGGGTGGGGGAGATAAAGGAGAATGGTGGAAAGGGGGAAATTCAAGTATGATATGTTTGATATACTGTAAGAACTTTTGTAAATGCCACAATGTACAAATGCACAACAATAAAAAGAGAGAAAAGAAAAAAGATTTTGTTGTTGGATTTGAGGGTCCTAATGGGATTGGTAACCACAGAAGTAAAAAACAATTACTTTTTCTCACATTTTCCTCTCATGGATGCAACTCTCCACTGTCACTGTTAATATTTCTTTTATTAAATGTTTTTTTTTAATTTGTTCTGGGTTTGGTTTTGGTCTTTTTAGTCCACTGCACCCAGCACTAAGTGCATTTTTTTGGGGGGGGGAATTGAACCCAGAGCACTACTAGGCAAGTGCTTTTTTTCTTGATCCATGTCCCCAACTTGTTTTATTATGTTTCTGAGATAGGGCCTCACTATCTTTGCCCATGAGACTGGTCTCGAACTGCATCCTCCTGCCTTTACCACCAGAATAGCTGAGATTACAGGTGTGGGCCAACACACTCAACCACTAATGTTTTAAAACATTGTATTTTGATAGGTTTCCACTATAAATTTCACCAATTAACTGTGGTTTTTGTGATAGTGAAAGTCCCTTTTATTTGGGAAATGGCTGAGTAGAGACTATGAATTGGAAATTGAGGCTATATCAACTGAGATTGTTTTCATTTGAAGAACAGGAGAATCTGATTTACAAACATGCCTCTGACTGCTCTTCAAGAAATTACTGAGACCTTATCAGAAATTTAGCAAGTTTGGACTTAGAGAACAAGTGTGTGACAATATGACAAAGTGGTACCCTCTCAGACAACTGAAGTATGTTTTTTTTACTATTCTTGTACTGGGGATACATTGTGACATTTACAGAAGTTCTTACAATATATCATAGTTGCATTCACCTGTACATCATTCTCCTTTATCCTTCCTGCCCCATTCCTGGAATAGTTTCAACAGGCCTCATTTTTCCATTTATATACATCTGTAGACACTATTTGTATCATATTCACCCTCTTATACACTTTCCCCACATTCTCCCCCCTTCCACTGGTACCAACCCCAAAGAAAGGACATGTTCTCCCCGCTTGTTCTTTGTTTTTGTAAAAAAATAAAATGACATTTTTGTTTAAGATAGCTGTATAAGGAGTTTCTTTATGACATTTCCATGTATATATGTATTATAACTGAAATTGGTTCATCCCCTCTATTTTTCTCCTTTCTACCTCAGTCCCCATCTTAAGGTGATTTGAACAGGTTTAAGAATTCTATATTCATTCTTGTATAGGAGGTACATCATCCATATTCACCTTCTTTACTTTGTTTCTATACAAGACAGGGTGGGTAAATGAAGTACTATTTTAAAAGGTTTGTATTTGCAGGACAGAATATTAGTTAAAAGAATTCTTTTGTGGCTGGAATATAGCTCATGCTAGCCTAGAATGCTCCAGACCCTAGGTTTTATTCCTGGCAATGCAAATAAAAATAAACAACAAATGAAAACAAAAAAAGACCCTCCCCAAATAATAAATACTTTAAAGAAGTTGGGATTGTAAGGTTGGAAGTAGGATATTTTACTGGAGAAATATAAATGACATTATTAAAGGGAAGCATTCACACCCACATTATAAAGTTTGGAGAGTTACTGTTTTGGAGGAATTTCCATTTTGATTGAATTATATGTAGAATTTGTGTCCTCTTTTTTCCACTTAATATTGCTCCATGAGAATGTCCGCAAGTCAGTAAAAATACAGTACTTTCTTTTTAAATAATAGTACATGTTAGAACTCTGCTATACTTTAGAAAACTGTGCCTGTTGTTGGAAATAAGTATTTTCTCTTGATGTGACTGGTTGCATCTCAGTATGATGGACATTGAAAAATATATTGAGGGCTTTACATTAGGAATGGATGGGTTGACCTCAAATAATATAAAAAAGTCCTTTGCCTTCCATATAAAATTATGAATGTGTTTCCTGAAGTGACTTAAATATTATATGCAATGTACATTTTTCATATGACAAATGTTTCTTGCAGATGTAGAGCTGGCTAACAAACTGGAAGAACTTAACCAGGTGAGAATGAGAAACACTTAAATGCTCAATTTTAATAATTATTGCAAGACAATTTATTTTTGACACAATGTTTTTTAAAAAATCACTAATACTACAGTGTGAAACTTTTAATCCTGCTAGAGAAAGAGTAAAGTAATTCACTAGGAGAAATAGTCAAGTTATACTAGAAAATTAAAAATATAACAAAACTATGCCTGATGTGATCACTCCAATTACCCAACCTTGAGACCTTGGGCCCATAGCAATTCTCTCTCACTGGTGTTTTGTGAAGTTTCCTCCCCGGACAAAATTTCATATGGTCTTAGCAAACGAAGCGTGTAAGGGTGGAGCTCTGCAGCTGGGTTAGAGAAACTGCAGTGCTGCCCTCTTGACAGGGAGCTCCCTGTGAGCCCATCTTTTCCAGTTCTTTATATTCTATAAAGAACGTTTGGAAACTGTTGAATTGTATGATCTCTAAACTCCTTCAAATATAAATGCTTGCTATTTCATTATTGTGCAAACAGTACTGCAAGTTAGGAAAGGAGAGAGAATTGTGCCCATCATTCTTTCCTGAGTAGCAAGGACAGGGAGACATGCAGTGGCCCAGGCTTGACGCTACTTGAGTGAAATGAGGACTTCAGGCAATTAGAGAGATTTTCAGAAATGAAGACGGTTGAATTCTGAGTGGAAATCATAGGCCTCAAAATACATCTCCCTTTCTGCTAGAAAGGACAGAGACTTCAAGAAATCTAAGCTTCACACAATTCTCTGGAATTCCTTGAAAAGGACTGTTGTTCTTCATAGGTGACACAAAATCAGGTCCAGCTACCAGGCTACATGTGCAGGCTGCCCCCACACTGCCTTTCTTTGCAAAAATCCTGTTTTGTTTTGTTTTGTTTTTCCTGATCTCTGTTGAGCCACATACCTTTTTTAATGAGCCTCTAAATGCATTTCGTGTCTTTTTATTTCTTTTTGTTTTTTTCTTATTCCTTTTCTTTTGCACTTTCTTCAATCTTTCCTTCTTTTTCTTTCTTTCTTGATTTTATCCTTCCTCTTCTTCTATAGAGAACAGCATAGTTGTTATTAAAGACTAATGAATTATCATTTAAAATCCTGAACAGTTAGAAAAGCTAAAAGAACAGCTTATGGAGGCAAAGGTCGCTGAGATGCCCTACGCTATAGGTGGTCTATCTGTTTCCCATCCTAACAAACGAGGTAAGCTTTCATTTCTAAATTTTAAAATGGGCTTCCAAAAGATTAGTTTTGTAATTACTTCTAAGAGGGAATAAAGTTGGCAGTTTTTAATCATGTGATGGTACTCAAGATCACAGCTCAGATTTTTAAGAAGCAAGCCCAATGAAAGTGCTCCACCAGGTGTGCTTCTGATCCTTGTTATGGTTGCAACAGTGAGTAGCAGTTACTTTCTGGGCTTAAATGAAATAGGTTCTTATTGTTTCAAAACACTGGTGTACCCTTTCTATTTTGGCTTAAATATTGATGCCAGGAAGATTAAAATAGAAACAATCCAGTTTTAACTCAACTCAGAATTTGTTTTTTTGTTATACTGAGTTTTGAACACAGGACCTCATGTTTGCTAAGCAGGCACCATGTGAGCCATATCTCCAGTCTTTTTTGCCTTGGTTATTTTTTAGGTAGGGTGTTGAATTTTTTTGCCCAGGCTGGCCATGACTTTCATCCTTCTACTTATGCCCCCCGAGTAGCTGGGATGACAGGTATATGCTACCATACCTGTTTTATTGATTGAGATGGTATTTCCTAATTTATTGCTTGAGCTGGCTTTGAACTCAGATCCTTCTGCACTCTGCCTCTTGAATAGCTGGAATTCCTGCCATGAGCCATGGCACCCAGACCTTCAATTCAGAATTTTATTGATACAAAGAGAACCCTAATTGCTATAACACTTGTTATAAATTCAAGGATTGACCCAGAATGTTTAATTTTAGAAAAATTATTTTTTTGAATCACTTTAAATATTTGTAACTTTTCTAGGATATTCTTGTTTCTTGTTGACTTGGCTATTATTTTTGAAAAGTTATATGTACTTTATATTTCTCCAATTTAAATGATATCAGATATTTAAGGATATATATATACATATATATGTATATATATATGTCTCTTGTCCCAAATTTGTCTGTAACTTCTGTAAAGACATATTTTTACACTACTACTAAGAGGGAAGAGGATACACTAGTATTAAGAACTTAGCATATCCCAGATATTTTATATTTTAATATCTCAAAATGCAGTGACTAAGTACTTGGACTCTAAAGCTAGAGACCCTGGGTTCAAATCTTTATTTTGCCATTTCCTACCTATGTTGTCTTAGGTGTTTAATTTCTTATGCATCATTTTTTCTTAGCTCTCAAAAACATATAATAAAAATATTTCTCATGGCAATGTTAGAATGAGATAAATTAATTTAATTTAGAATAATATCTGACATACAGTAAGCACTATGCAAGGTTAAGTTAAAATCATTTTAATGAAGACTACTACCATTATTAGTTTATTCTCTATTATAGCTAAAAATATAACTATTTTATAGATGAGAAACTGTATTTTAGTGGGGTTAAATTACATTCCCCAAATAATCCACCCGCTATGAGACTTGGAGAATGAATCTGAAGGAGGAAGTAGTGTAGGATAATGTCAAAGGTGGAGAGGAGGGGAACTTGAGCCTACTAAAGAGTTTGTATTTTTACTTTATATCTCATGGGCAACCGCTGGAAAGTTATAAGCAAATCAGTGATTGATAGGAAATAAAATTTAATAGAATCACTCTTCATGCTTTATGGAGAATATAGTGCAAAAGAGGAGCAAGAATGGGAGCAGAGACTTTGATAGAGGCCCTTTAATGGTTTAGAAGATAAATGGTTGAGCTTAGATTAGGGTAGCAGTAGCAAATTGAGAAGGGATCTGATTCTGTATATATTTTAAACAAAAACTCAACAAAATTTGCTGTATAATTATATATGGGCTATAACAGGATGACAGGTATCAAAATAATTCGTAGGTTTTACTTCTGAGCAACTAGGAAATAAGGGCAATTTCTATTTATTGATAGCTGGAGGAGGAGAGAATTTGGAGGAGAAGGGTTGAATAGAATTTGGACAGACCTTTCCTTAGTATAGTTTAGGCCACAATGTGTAAACAATGTTAATCTAAATCTCAGAAGCCTAATTTCATATAGTCAAATGCATGTAGCAAGTACCTCTCCATTTCATAGCTATATTACCTAGCCTGTTGTTATATTTTAACCTCTTTCAAGACGATCAAAATAGAGAAATACAGAGGATGTGCTGATGTTGCACACCTTATGCCCCAGGTACTCAGAAGGCAGAAACAAGAGGATCACTAGTTCAAGGCCAACCCTGGGGAAAGTTAGCCAGACTTTACCTGTAAAACAAAATAAACACAAAAAGGGGTCTAGTTAAAGTGATAGCTTCCCTTGTAGCTGTAAGGCCCTGGGTTCAATCCCTAGTACCTCAAAAAAGAAGAACAGAAGATACATTCCAACTCTCAGTCTCTTCAGTTGAAGTGACATGTCACTTCTGAAGTCCATTGGCCAGAATTAGTCATGGGGTGCTGCCAACATATAGGCAAGAGAGTCTGGGGATAACAAGGAAGTATCTACATTTCAGGACTCTACCAGTCAATCCTGTGATCTGTTCTTAAAAACATCAGACTACACTAATCTCTTTCTCTTTCACTGATGGCACTCAGCAGATATGCTCACTCATCTTCATCAGATTGAATATGACTGTTCTTTATTTACAGCCTTTTAATTGAAAAGACAAGTTATTTACTACACACAAGCCCAGTAAGATAGAACAAGGAAAGGATGACCATGATCAATGATCCAATTTATGAAAGAGAACAATAGGAGACCCATGACATCTGTAACGAAAGCCTCCAGCAATTCTGAAATTTCACTGAGCAAATGATGTGGACATAGCACCTACCCTGGAGATGGACAGAGGTCTTTCTCCTCCTCCTCCTCCTCTTCCTTCTCCTTCTCGTTCTTCTATTTCTTCTTTTCCTCCTCCTCCTCCTCCTTCTTTTCTTTTCCTTCTTCTCCTTCCTCCTCTTCCTCTTCCACCTCTTCCTCCTCTTTCTTCTTCTTTATCCTTCTCCTTCCTCCCTCCTCCTCCTCCTTCCTCTGGGCTTTGCATTTGCTAGGCAGGCACTCTACCATTTGAGCCACACCACCAGCCCTTTTTTGCTTTAGTTATTTTTCAGACAGGGTTTTGTGTTTTTTCCCGGGGCCAGCCTATGATGCTTCTTCCTATGATTTCCTAGTAGCTGGGATTACAGAAGTGTATGACCCTGTCTGCTTGTTTGTTGAGATGAAATCTTTCTAATTTTTTGCATAGGCTGGCCTCTAACTTTGGTTCTTCCAGTCTCCACTCCCAAGTAGCTGGAGTTACAACATTTACCATCCTGCCTCTCAGAGAAAGGGTTTTTGATTGGAGCCCTCTAATGTCTAAGAGGAATCCTTTATGTATTGTGTTCTTTCTCCTGGCCTCACCCTGTCTGAAGTTTTTGTTTTTGTATTATAGTCCCCAGACATATGCCCTACTTGGAGCTATTTCCTTCTTATGAATTACACTACTTTTTCAAGTTTCTAAAAACTCTTGCAGAGTTAGAGGTGCTAGGTTTGTTTTGTCTTAAAATAACAAAGATATTTTTTTACTCTAAGGTTCCAAGTTTTTTTTGGTAATGACATGTTTCAAAAATTTGGAAAGCTTGTCAACTATTTTCTACACATAAATATTTTCATAAAAAATATATTTTGAGACAGAATCTTACTATGTAGCCCAGGTTGACCTCAAACTCTTCATCCTCTTCCTTCAGCCTCCAAAGTGTAAGGACTATAGGCATGCACCACCATGTTTAGTGCTCAAAATATTTTATTTGGCATTATTACCCCCAACTTAATATCAGCTGCCTTGAAAGAATCTGGACTATCCCTTAATGACCATGTACTTATTCTGTTTTCTTCCTGAGCTCTTTATTCCAGCTGATACAAACTAAGCCTCTCTCACTTAAAGTCATTTAAAAATCTCATATCATTTGGGCTCTCGAAGCAGTTACTTCTTTCATCATTTTAAGACACTGTTTCTGAACACTTTTCACTCCCTTTTTATTTGATTACAAATTCACAAATTCTTTCCTAAATTCACTAATCTCCTGTTATTCTTTGCTAAATGTATCTAAAAGCAACATAAAACATTCTGCTAATTTTCTAATTTCTAACCTTTTCTTCAGAAGTTCAAGAGATACATGATCCAAATACCAAGCTGTTGCAGATATCAATTTTACACACATATTTTACCATTTTGTAAAATTGTTTCAAGTTTTCCCAACCTATAACAGTTTCTTTGTCTATCATTAATGACTTTCTGAGATTATGTTATATTTTAGATACTTCTTAGTGTAGTGTCTCACTTCAATTTACCAATTTGCATGTTGGGATATGCTTGGTGAACTACATTAACAGAATAATTTTAAAATCTCAATGGTTCAATTTCCTCTGTTTTATTTTGGGTCTGTGTATGTTGATCATTTGTTTTTTGTACTTTCTGCCTCTACTATGTTGAACACATGCTCTCTATTGTCCTTCCTTCAGAAAGAACTGAAGGAAGTAGACATATTCTTAGCTGCTACAACTAAGTACATGATCCCAATCTAACTTATAGGGTTGGAGGCATCTGAGAAATGTAGTGAGCAGAAGGAATACTTGGGGAGTCCTAGCTCTATTACAGATATTTAGGGCTCATTATACTATGTGGAACAGTATCTCCTTGGCAATGATTTGAACAGACCACCACTGGATGTATGAATTTGGAATTGAGGGAAGTAGCACAGGTTGGAAATATAAATTTAACATTTATCAGCAAATTCATATTTGGCATTGCAATGAGACCATCTAGGGAGTGATTCAAGAGACAGAGAGAATACATTCACAGACTGAAGTTCAAGTCACTGCAAAGTTAAAGATTGGGCAGGTGAGATAGAATCAGCCAAAGGGTTGAGTAGGAGCAGCTACCAAGGAAGGAAACAAGAAAGAAAACAATGCCCAGAAGACAAGTTTAAAAAAAAAAACTGTGTCTAGGAAGAAGTTCAGCTGCATCTAAAGTTATGATGGATCCTGTAAGATGGGAACTGAGAACTTGTAGTTGAATTCAGAAACAAATAATCTTGACAAGAATTCTTAGTGAACTTTTGGTTAAAGAGAACTTGATTAAAGGACTGGAACTGTGAACAACAGACAACTCCTTTGAAGAATTTTGTTCCAAAGGGTAGGAAAATTTGAGACACTAAAGGACACTAGAATACTGGCTGGAGTATTACTTCATGTTAATGAGAAAAGATATTGTAAGCATTGAGGAGTTGACTCTTTTGACAATACCACTCATGGCAGTTCCTTTCAACAAGGTCTAAAATCTTTTCCCTTGCATACTTAATTGAACTGCTTGTGTGGTACATGTTATAGGCTTATATTTTTCTGGCAGACAGAGATATTCAAATATATCTGAAAGCACAGAGTGCACAGTTATGGTGATTTTCCAAAGCATACTATAAAAGAGAAGATTGGATTAGTGGGCCAAATTCTTCAGTTCCATATCTGAAAATAGACTTCTGCTTTCACAGGGTTTGAATCTGGTTCTGTTTAAGGAAATCTATGGCTCTTGTAGAAATGAGAAGTAGACTCTGAATGCAATCACAATGTTCTTCATACGTGGTGAAGAGCACAGGATCATAGGTTAAAGACGACTTTAGTTGGGCAAGCAGATAAACTTGTATTATTTATGGTTACCTTACTATGAGTTTTTAACTTTTCCTTTTTCTCTTTCTTTCTTTCTATTCTTCTCTTACTTCTTCCCTTCCTCCCTCCCTCTTTTCCTTCCTTCCTTCTTTTTTCCTTGGGGGGGTTGTGGAGGACAGGGTCTTGCTATGTAGGCTGGGCTTGAAATCCTCACTCCAGGTGCTGAGGGTTTTAAGAGTGAGCCACCTCACTGGGTTCCAAAGATCTTAGTTTTATAAGCTTCTTAGAAAGTAATTAGAGAAATTTACAATTAGATGAAGCTACTATAAGTTGGATGAATGATTGGGAAAAACCTACAGATTTTAAATGATTCATTTATGCATTTGAAGATTAAAATGCTGCTAAACTTGGTGTAATTTGTCTGAAGCATCATTTTGTAATCAGAATATGAAGACTTAACGTGATAATTAATTTACTTAAATATCATAGGTGGTTTGTAAAATGATCTTTGACCTATCTTTCTTTCTATTTCCTCAATAAATAGAAGCACACTTAGCACTGCTTTTTACTTATGTGACTTCCTTTTTAGGAGTTCAGTTTCTCCAAGTGTAAAAGAGAAGGGTGAGCCTCATAGGTTAGACTACCTTGTCCTTTGGGCTGTATTATATGCATAATAATGTACAGTAGTACTGCCCAACAGTGATTTCTGTGCCTGGACCATTCTCTAATTTGCACTGCCCAATGTAGTAGTCACTGGCTAAAAGGCATTTATTGTACACTTGGCATGTAGCCAGTATGATGGAGAAGCTGGATTTTTAATTTATTTAATTTTAGTTAATTTAAAGATCCACATAAAGTTAGCAACTACCATATTGAGTACGTTTTACAAAACTGCTCTCTCTCTTATTCAGGCCCACGTAGACTATTTTATTTAAATGTAAGGTTTTAAAAAAATACACATCTAATAAAGAATATGCTTTGTTTTCTTCTTTAGCTTGCTTTTGGAAATACTGTGTCTAAAGCGTTGTTTCTGGATACAAAAAAGAAGAATGTTAGAAAAAGACGATACATATATATATATATATACTCATACACACACACACACACACACATATATGCTCTACTGCTTAAAGATTGTAGTTGTTTCATTATTTTTCTCACTTTGTTAACTTGTTACTATGTGGGTTACAATATTACAATGTATTTAATGTTTATGTTATGAATAATGACAAGCCAGTTGCACTTTAGAATTGTATGGGACTATCAAAATGAATTTTGAACTAAAGTCGAGAATGTTAATGTATTGTATGCTTTTCATAAAATGATTGTCTATATGCAGTTTCATCCTGTGTTAACTATATTGTTGAGCTGTCAATGAAAATATTTTAAAAAACATCTTGGAAAGTGAAAATAAATTATATTGACTCAATGAGTGTGGGAAATATGCATTATTATTCATTCTCTTTTTATGATTTTGCTGGCTACCCTCTTTTCTGCTAATTAGGATAGCTGTCATTGAGATTATGCTAATTTATATTGACTACCAGCAAGCATATATATGAAATTTATAAAGCATGTATATAAATTTTAAGACACTGTAGCTAGCAATTAACGACATCATCTTATGAAAGGGTTCTTGTCTGATTGTCACCAGTACTCATACAGGAACAAAAACAACAAAAATGGCAAAGTGTCTTTTTTTTGTTTAAACATAAACGTACTTTCAAGTTGATGCTTCGCAGTGAAATAGAGTTGGACTAGGATAGACAATGCATTGAACAAAAAATGAGATGAATTGTCACATTCTTAACAGAAATATTTTAATTTACCCTTGTGCTAAAGAAGACCCTATTTAAACTAGTATATTGCTACCTTATTTTCTCTTCTTGATGAAGTGATGGGATAATTAAAATATGAAATAAAATGGAGCTGTAAGTGGAGAAAAACATTTCGTCTCCATTAAAGTTTAGTGTATATATTACGAGATAAATGCATTACACAGAATGCAACATAAGTTAATACAATGTGATCTTTTATTTTAATTATATTGGATGTCATAACCTAACTTCTAATTAAAAAATAAAGACAGAAGGAAAGGGACTGTTTAAATCCAGCTTCAAATTATTAACATGAGAAACTTTTAGGCTAAAGCGGGTTTTAATATCTTTGGTCAAAGCTCAAAGCAGTGTCTGATTGGATTAGAGGCTTACAAATGCCCAGTGGGAGAAAAAGAAAGAAATAGTTTCCAAGAAATAGGAAACATTTCCATAGGACATCAGAGGGCAAGTGAAAGATGGACAAGAGAGATAATTACTTTCACATAAGTAATTCTTTCAAACTGTGAGTCCTGCAGATTTTTGCACGTCACCATTAGCTTTCTAATACAACTTTATGAAGAGCATTATTGGTTTCCTCAAAATTCATTTCTCTTTGCTACAGCTCTCTACTATAACTCAAAGAAACATTCATTTACTGTTTTTTTTTTCTAAACTTAAATTGAAGAGTATCATGAATTTGGTAAATTTAGAGAAAAGCTACAAAGTTACCTATAAAACCATTATGTATTCTAAGTACACATATTCATTTCTTTCACCTCTTCAGATCTTTTAAAACTGGATTTCTAAAAAGCACATTGGACAACTGAAATATGAGTATTTTGTAAAGACTAGTATTTTGTCAAGTCTTCTCTAACGTGTTTTTGTCACCATGATGTGTCTTTGAATTTATTTCATTATTTGAATCATAAAAATTCCTTAGTTAATTTTTATTTAAGATTAGCTACAGCCATTTTCTCTTCTTCACTTTTAATATGAAGGCATCTTTTCATAACACTCTTTCTTTATATGCTAAAATATGTCTTTCCTCTACTGGCCAAAACTGTTTTCCTCCCACATCTGGTCTGTTTGACAGTGATTGCTGGGTTTAAAGAAGTGGTTTCTAAAAGTTGCATACACTTCAGCTAAGTAGTTTATGCCAAATCTCTGGTCCCTGGAATAAGTTGTTTTTGTGTTTTGAAAGCATATACAATGCACAACAGACTTATGTATTTAAATGACATGGTACCACAGTTATTGCTGAGAACTGAGCTTTCTAAAATACGAAGCCTGATGCGTTTGATAGGTCAGTCAAGATAATGTGATTTTTAAAAGTCACTCCCAAATATATGATGCTTCTCAATGTCTTATAAGCACAGTATGTAAGATAGATTAAACAACTTTTAGATGAGTCAATACCTTAAAAATGTCATTTATTATCCTGTGCTGAAATGAACCTTGCTACAGTTCTATGTACTTTGCTGGCTTTGGCTGCTTTGGTTGCTTACTTGGTGGTCCTTTAACTTCCTTCCTGCTTTCACCTGTTAATTCCATGTGTAATTTTTCCCCTGACGATGAACCACTGCCTTAATTAACTAGTAGTTAAAATTTAGAGAAATTTTAGGGGGTAAAGAATATTGAAACTTAACGAATGAGTGATATCCTTGGCTTCTTTAATTCTAAGGTCACTGGGGATTCACAACTCACTAGGGTTGTGTTTTATTTGGTTAAACTTGATTGAAACTTCAATATGGTAAGAGAAGCCTAATTATTACCCAACAGGTTCTAGACAAAGAAAATAAGAGAGATAAAAGCACTCAAGAGAAAAGATACAGAATTGCTTTCTTCCCTTCTTCTCCAGTAACAGATTGTATCTAATTTTATAAAAGCAAATCTGTCTTTCATTGTTATTCTTTAACTACAAAAACATGAATGATAAGTGCATACAGATGGTAAGTGAATATAATTTCACTGTATTGCATTTTTTTTACTATTATTTTTTAAAGTAAGGTTTAGGGGTGGGTAATCATTCTTGAATAGTCAAAAATATATTTAAAAAATATGCATGCATTGAAATGATCTGCACAATTTAGCTGAAACTGTAACAATACTGTGATGTGATGGACTGAAGTTGTAGCCTTGGAAAGAATTTGCAGAAGGTCATTTCCTTAAAAGTTTAGTTGTTAAGGAGTATTGAAATCTTCACTGAAGCATCGTCCATGTTTCTGTGACATTTCACACAAGGAAGCTGCATCTGCAGAAATGAAAGTAGAAATTTTTAAAGCCAGTCTGTAGGTCAGGTGAAAATCCATCAACTTCACCAGAGAAAAGCCAAGTCTATAAGTAGATGATGTTTCATTTTAGCTTTTATTTACTGGCATATTTTCATTTTGAAGACAATAATGCAAAAGGATAATTTCAATAAAAATGAGTAAAAGGAGCATTTGTGCTCAAGTTTGAATGAAAATTACTAAATTTCTCAGTCTTTTCCTCAGATAGTTACAATATATGCATGTATATGTGTATGCATATATATATATATATATATATATATATATATAAATTTTTTTTTGGTGGTGGTGGTACTGGGAGTTATACTCAGGACCTTAGCTTGCTAGGCAAATGCTCTCCCGTTTGGGCTACTCTGCCATCTCTTTATGTGTTGGTTATTTCTAAGATAGGGTCTTGCCTCATGCCCAGCCTGGCCTGGACTGTGGTCTTCCTAGTTGCGCGCTTTCTCACTTAGCTGAGATGACAGGCACATGCCACCACTTCTAGCCATTGTTTGAAATGGGGTCTTCAGCACTTTTGCCTGGGCTGGCCTTGACTGTGATCCTCCTGATCTCTGTCTCCCTAATCGTGAGAATTACAAGCTTAAGCCACTGTGTTAGGCATATAACTACTATATTCTATTTCTTTTGAATTTTCAGTATTGGTCCAAAGGATGTTGGCTTGACAAGCAAAAGAAAAATAGATAATAACTGACTATAACTTTCTGCTTATTGTGGTAACACATTGATAATTGTATATTTTGTTCATGTCAAAACGATCAAACCATATACCCATGATATTCCTGCTGTATTTCAGTTATATTGATTTATATGAGTGATGGTGTCCACTTTGCCCTATGATAAAAATTATCAGTGCAAAACCGCTACATGGACCTGACATTATTAAAAGTCTTAATGCATGTAGTAACAAGAGACAGCACCATTAATAGTTATATTTTTTATTTCATCAAGTAGTAGCCTGATTGTCAATGGTAGAGATACAGAACTTGCTAATTGTGTCCAGGGAAGCTATGATACCTTAAACAAAATATCTGAATTTCAGTTACCCAGAGAGAAGTCCTATTAAAAGTTAAAACTTTGGTATAATATAATAATGGTTTGAGGAAGACATTGTATAAATATCAGATTATTTTCCTTTCTAGAACATATTAGCAGAGAAGCGATTGGCATTTAGTTTGGAAATTTGGTAGTACACTGCAGCTGTATCTAGACTAGACCCTGAACCAAGCAGAACTTCTATGATTAGATACTTCTTTTAGTGTGAAGACTAAAAGTGAAACCCAAAAGGTGAAAACCCACAACTAACCTTTTGCAAAAGAGAATATTTCAATCCCCACTGAAAATTCTGCTTGTTTCAAAAATATGTGATCAGTGAAGTTAACAACCAGCAGTGACAATTTAAGACCAAGAAGGCCTGAGGTGTCATGAAGAGTACATTGTCCTAGAAGTTCCAAGACTTGGGACCTTGGGTCTTGTTCTGTTGAGATTTGTAAAATTCTGGGTAAATCCATTTCCTCTCACAACCCCAGCATACTAAATTGTTATTTAAAAAGATGGGGTTGGATTAAAGAAAACTTTAACTTCTTGAATCTGTATCTACTTTGCTATGTGACTATTTGAATGCTATTTGACTTCTCTTAAGTTTTTATCTTGTAAATGATGTACATATTGTATCCACTGTTTGATTGTAAAGGATATTGTGACCATAGAAAAGAATACAGCAAAAAATTTTGAAAATTTGATTGGAAATTATAAATATATGATTATTTTGTGGATTTTTCTATTTATATAAAACACAAAACTTCAAATGAGGAAATGGGAAATATCTGAGAAATCTCAGTGATAAATGGTGGGAAATAATGGATAGAAACATAATGGTTGAGCAGGTGAACCCACAGTGACTGACAAAAGAGAAAGAGAAAATATATGATGTTCTTTTCTAAGCCTATTCTAAATGTTTTAATAATAAAGATAGCACTTGTCAAGATGGTCATTGTAGTCTGGCAAGAGAAGGACACAAAGACCTAACTTGGCTTCCACCTACAATGATTCAGGACATTGGATTAATTCAACTCTCTTCATAGTTTAATAGCTCTCTAGAGTGTCTATGATCCAAGAATTCACGTGAAAATGAGTTTCCTATGTAATTTATTTGTCACACTTGTTTTGATTGAATTCAGAAATATAAAGAGGGTGGCAAAGGTAGAAACCAGTCAAACTTAATTATTTTAATCTCAGACTCATAATGTTAATACATTAACAAACAGGAAGATGTGATCCTGATCCTGATTCCATTGGTTTATAATAGCAATTTCTATTCAAGTGCAGTGTGGCAGTTTTTAACAACTCAGAGTGACCACACTAAGTATATTTTTGGGGATAAAGAAAAACAGATTAATCTGAATTTTGAATATGGTGCTGTTCGAATGGCATTACTTAATAAACCCTTATATATTTATGGGAACTCAGTCACTATAGAATATCATCAATTAGCAAATCCCTATAGAACAAAATTCTTCTAATTAAGTTATTCTGACAAAAATATTGAACTCTCATTATGGCTTTAGAGCATTTGAGGAGAGAGAACAACTCAGCTGATTTAAATTATGAGATGAAAAGGGCTGATGTGACACTTTTTGGCTGTCTGTGCAATTGGTCTGAGGATAGCCATGAGTGAAGTAGAAAGCAGACTTTCCTCTTCTCTAGCCTGAAATCATTTAAGCAGTTCCAGGTTGCCTTAATATCCTATTGGGAGAAAATATCTTCTTAGATTTCATATTGAAATATTTAGTGTCTGTGGTACTGGGGCTTGAATTCAGGGACTACACCTTGAGCCACTCCACAAGCCCTTTTTGTGATGAATTTTTTTGAGATAGGGTCTCAAGAACATTTGACCTACCTGGCTTTGAACCATTATCCTCCTGATCTCTGCCTCCTTAGTAGCTAGGATTACAGGCACGACCCACTGGCACCCGGCAAATATTTAGTGTTTGAAGGATATAATATATATGCTTAAATAAAGTGTTTGACATATAAATCAGTATTTAAGCTTTCCAGATTTTAATTCTAATTGCATAACTTTCTATTTTATGTTGTGAATTAATTATGTCTAAACCTTCCACTACAGGTCAGACACTATGTTAAGTGCTTAATGTGTGCCAGTTCATTTAATCCTCAGGACAATGCTATATGGAAGATATTATTATCATCTTCATTTTATGGAGGAAGATTTCAGAAATTCAGTAAGGCCCCATAGTTTGTAAATAACTGAGATATGAACCTGGAATTTGAACCCACAAAGCCTGATCTCTTTCACTGTCACCTTTACCCCATTTACTGTTCTAAAGATTCTAGAGATAGTATTATTTTATAGAACATGATGATTAAATGAAGAAATTCATGTGAATAACCAAGTATAGGATCCAGCAGAAATGTAGTATAAATTACTATCATTCGCAAATATTGTGTGTTCAATATATTCTAGGACCACTATGAACATCTGATTTAATCTTTGCAATCCACTATGCTATTAATTAAATGTAAAGGATGTAGAAAAATAAAGTATCTTATCAGAAATAAAGATAACAAATGAGTGACAGAAGCAGGATTTGAATAAGGTGTGAATAAGGTGGTGAATAGTCTTTCTGCTACATCATTCTCTCTCCTCTGTTCCTTATTATCATAATTCAGCAATAAATCCATCAATAACAAAAAAGTGTACATCACTATAATGTGTCTCCACAACAAAGGGATTGGTACAAATTTATGTATATTTATGAAGATGATTTGTTGTGTTAATTAGAAATGTAACCCTTATTTCATATTAATATTCAATCATTACACAGGAGTTTGTGAAAACAGCTAAATATGTGTTCAAGGTGAAAGACCAGGATGGTTTTTTAAAGGATAAGGTATAGGATATTCCTTTGCTTTCTAAAAGTCTCTCAAATTATTCAATATCAATATACTAGTGTAATACAGAAATGCTTGAAAAAGTGAATTTATAAGCTAAGAAATCAAAAGTAATGTATATGCAAACACCTGCACATATTGCTGCTTGTTCAAATTGTACTCACAATTGGCATTGATTAGCCTCTGGAATTTGAAAGCCGGTTTCTACCAATTCGATCCATAGGGATACCAAATCGCTTTTTGGGATGATTTACTACTTTCCTGAAACAAACGAAGGAGATTTTTTTAAAGCGAAAGTACATGTCATCAGATTTTGGTCTTGTACTTCATGGATGTCTGGAGGCTTTCTTTAGGAGCTAGAGTAAAAAAAATAGTTACCATTCTCATACTTTGAATATTTGTCAAGAAAATTGAAGCTTAGAGAAGCTAACTTACTCAACTTCAAATAGGCCATAAGAAAAGCCAGGTCCTATGAGCAAACTAAATTGCTGAATGCTTTAGTGGGTAAATCCATTCCCTTCTCAGATTTCATTTCCTTGGTAACTGAGGAAGATTAGACTGGATGGGCTGTTTTTCTCAACTTCCACCTCAAAATGGGTATTCTGGAGAAGTATTGTGGTGGGAAAGGAAAGAGTATAGATGCTAAGGCTGGGGTCCCTCTCATGCCTTTACTTAGATGTCACTACAGATGTTCTTTTTTTGGTGTACTGGTGTTTGAATTCAGGGTCTTACACTTGCTAGGCAAACACTCTACCACTTGAGTCACTCCGCCAGCCCTACAGATGTTCTTTAGGTGAGCTATGTTTGCTTATATCTTTGCTATGTCAAATGTTATGTGAAAAAATAAAACAGTTTCATTATCAAAATGAAGTTAAAAAAATCCACACTGGGCTATAAGAGGCCTAATGAACCTTACAGTTTATGTGTTTCTATACATTAGTTCTTTAAGAGGAAAAGAATTGTTTTTAAAAATACATTTTTATTTGATTGGTTATTATCATAACTTTTGGTATGAAACCAAAATTCTAATAGGGAAGGTCCAAGAACTTTGAGTGTGTATCTTTCACTGTCTGACTGTGGAGTTAAGAGAAGTTTGAAACTACTTAATGAAGACAGAGATGGGTCGGATAAGCTCAGAAGACTATGTAAATGACTTATTTACAAAAGAAGGTAATTGATTTATACATTTGTTAGATGCTTTTGGCTTATGCATGTAGAAAAGAGACTATACTATGTGAACAATATTAGCCATAATACAGATTAAAAGTGGAATAAATACCTAAGTCAAGAAACAAACAATATCATCAATTGAACATTTTTAGAATAAAAAGAATCTTTAAAGTTACTCCCCCCACACACCAAATACAAAGATTTCTGCTTCAACTTTTTATAAATGAACTATAATAATACAGTTTACTGCCTGAAAATCTCAGTGATATAAGACTTATTACCTTATAAGACATTTTAATCTTAATAGCTTAAAGAGTTAAAGAGGAGAGAGGATCCAAGATGGTGACTAGGGTGTGGAAGCAGACTGCATGAGCTCCATGACTTCAAAACCTTGCTGAGGTGCTAGAACAACACTTGGCAAAAATAAAACACCAATGAAAATCAAAACTGTGACATGCTGAACCCCTAGCCTGTGGAAAGCTTTTCCTTGCCACATTACACTGAGAAAACTTGTGGGATGCTGCCGCTACCACCACCACTGGCTCCAAACTTGCCTGTGAGAGATTTGGCAGACCAAACAGGTGAGCACCAAGCATCATGCAAAATTCTCCCAGCTACCCCTGGGATAAACCAGCATAGCCCCCTGGGCAGACTGACCTCCTCCCCCCCCAAAAAAACCCCTGAACAATAAACAGTGAACTGTAATCTAGCACACAGCAGAGGGGGGTGGGATCTCTGAAGGTGCACTGGAGAAAGGGGGAGGGGCAAAGAGATAATCTCAGCAGAACTATCAGTAAACAAACACAGGAAAGGCAGGAAGGCCAACAGCGGGTGGATGATAAGTCACTCCCGAAGTGGGCAGGTAGCAGATCACAAAACTCATCACCTGAGTCAGTGAACAGCACCCAAAGTCAAACTGCCCCACAAAATTGAAAAACAAACAGCAAACCATCATAACATTCTGACAGCAGGGGAGGGCTGATGGAATACTGACCCTGCTGATGGGTTGGGCAAAGAAATAAACCCCCAGCACTGAAATCCCAGTAAACCAGCACAGCAAAAAGCCACCTCCAAAGCAGGACAACTAGTGGACAACAGAGTTTATCTCCAGAACCCGAGGACAGCATGCAAACTTAAACTGCCACACCTCACTACGGGGGAGCTGACCAAGCAGCTGCAGCTAAAAGACAGAAGAGCAAAAGACTACTCACAAACCAATCACTTGGTGAGACCACGATAGAGCTTCTGCTTATATGCCAATACCAGGACTGGATGCCAGAGGAGTAACTCCAGAACTTAAGCTAAGAATAAAATTCTATTGTTCCTGAACCTGGAGGGTTTTTTGTTTTGTTTTGTTTTTTGTTTGTTTGTTCATTTCTACCCTCTGATTTCTTTGGGTTTTTTTTGTTGTTGTTGTTGTTTTTGCTGTTAGTCTTGTTATTGTGGGTTTTCTACTTTTATTTTTATTTCTATTATCTTTTTTCTCTTTCTATACTATCAAACTTATCATCATCATTCACTTCTACCCTCTTCATGCTCCCTCCCTCTCCTGTGCAAAAACCCATTGCTCTCCCTCCAACAACTCATTCTGCCCCTTCTCAACCACTCTGTTCACCCAGCCCTCACCTTATCCTCCCATTCTCCCCCAACCTGTCACCAGACTACCCTTTCCTCCTTCAACTTACTATACCAACTTTACACAACCCCAAACCCCTGCAATCCTTAACATAAACACCCTCTTTTACAACAACAGAAATACACACAAACAGAAACAAGGACACAAAAACAGCAGCCCCCACACTGCTTCCCCACTCACCCAACCCACTTCCCATCTTCCCCTTTAGTGCCATCCTATCCAACTCCCCAAATTTCTATAGCTAGCATTACAAATGCTAACCTCCCAACTCTCACTGCTTATAGACATTACTACCAAGGGGATCTTCTATACAACACATAAACTACTAGTTGGGTATTAAACCTGTGAATTACTTAATACTAAATTACACCTAGACCAGGGACAGAAATAGCACACCAACTTAGCTAAAAACCCAAGAGAGCCACAAAACAAAAAATTAAATCAAGGGCAAGAAAACAGGTGACTGAAACCAACTAGCCTATCAAGAACATAGTTGCACAGTATCAAGTGGAGCGATGGGAAGAAGAAAAAGGGATGGAAATCATTCTCCCTCCAAAAATAATTTAATACAGGATTAGAGGGAAATGAAGATACCCAGCTCTGGACTGAAACAAAACAAAGATAAATGACACCAAGGAACCCAACAATGTCCACAAAAACAGACTCAAAAAGAAATCCTGCAAGTAATCACTGAGAATTTCATGGAGATGATACTAGATACAGTTAACCAAAGCATACAAGAGGCACTCAAGAAATACCAAGACACCAAAAATAAAGAAGACACAGAAACAAATAAATGAACTCAGAGGAGCCCTAAATAAACACCAAAGTGAAACAGAGAACATTATAAATAGAGAGATAAATTAACTAAAGGTGAAAATAGACAATATTAAAGATGAAGAGACCCAAGAGATGGAAAACTTCAGAAAAAAGAATGAAACAGAAACACAAAACCCAGTGGAAGGCCGCTCCAGCAGATTAGAACAAGTGGAAGACAGAATCTCAGAACTTAAAGATAAAATGAAAATTAAAGAAAAAGCTAAAGAGCTATTAGTCAAACAACTCAAGTCCTGCAAAAGGAATATGCAAGAACTCACCAACTCCATCAAAAGACCAAATCTGAGAATCATGGGCATTGAAGAAGGAGAAGAGGTGCAAGCAAAGGGATTTGTAATATATTCAATAAAATAATAACAAAAAATTTCTCAAATCAAGAGAAAATTATGCCCCTTCAGATACAGGAAGCCTCCAAGACACCAAACAGTTGACAAAAATAGAACTTCCTCACGACATATTATCATTATAAAAACAAGCACAGAGAATAGAGAAAGACTATTGAAGGCTGTAAGACAGAAAAAGCAAGTAACATACAAAGGTAAACCCATAAAAAGTCATAGCAGATTTCTCAATGGAAATCTTAAAAACAAGAAGGGCATGGAGTGAGGTATTCCGGGTACTGAATGAAAATAACTTCAACCCTAGGATACTCTACCTAGCAAAACTATCATTCAAAATAGATGGAGCAATAAGAGTCTTTTACGATAAGCAGAAACTAAAACAATATATGACCACCAAACCACCAAAAAAAATTCTCCAAGAAATTCTGTACACAGAAAATGAAAGCAAACAAAACCATGAGAGGACAGGCAGTATCAAACCATAGGAGAAGAAAAGACAAGGAATTGGAGAGTAACATTGATTCAGCTGCACACAATCAAACCCTCAAACAAAAACAACTAAATGACAGCAATCATCACATACCTATCAATATTAACACTGAATGTCAATGGATTCAACTCCCCCATCAAAAGACACTGATTGGCAAACTGGATTAAAAAGGAAGATCCAACAATCTGTTGTTTATAGGAGACCCATCTCATTGACAGAAACAAATACTAGCTTAGGGTGAGAGGCTGGAAGAAGATTTACCAAGCCAGTGGCCCCCCCAAAACAAGCAGGAGTAGCAATACTTATCTCAGACAAAGGAGACTTCAAACTTACATTGATCTAATGAGAAAAAAAAGACACTCCATAATAATAAAAGGAGAACTACACAAAAAAGACATAACAATGATCAAACTATATGCACCAAATGTCAGTGTACCCAATTTCATCAAACATACTCTAAAGGATTTAAAAGCACATATAGACTCCAACACAGTGGTAGTAGGAGACTTTAATACCCCATTTATCACCAATAGATAGGTCATCAAAACAAAAAGTCAATAAAGAAATTCTAGAACTAAATCACACCATAGATCAAATGGACCTAGCTGATGTCTACAGATATTTCATCTAATATCCACGCAATATACATTCTTCTCAGTAGTCCATGGAACTTTCTCCAAAATTGATCATATCTTAAGGCACAAAGCAAGCCACAGCAAATATAAGAAAATAGAAATAATCCCATGCATTTTATCTGATCATAATGCATTAAAACTAGATCTCAACA